ATGCAAAAAAATATAGAATAAGAAAACTGCTGAACTGAACACAGTTCTCTATATGGGAAGGAATGTACACAAAAACTGTACATGGGAAGTTATATATTATGTTTACGGATTTCAAGTTTTTGAGTAACCAAATTCATATTGATATTGAGCTCAGTTTTGGTATTTTACCAGAGAATCAGAATAGTCCAAAACCAAACTTCTTAACATGTAATAACATTCTATGACCTTTCCTAAAACAGTTCTAATATATTATTATGGACATGCAAACCAAAAAAAAAACAGTGGTCCACACTAAAATTGAATTTAACTCAACATAATATTACATAAAACTTTTGCTCTCATATAATTTTATCACTTATAAGAAGTATAAGTGAATCCAAATTTTGAGTCTTTTCCTTATTTATCAAAAGAAGAATTTAAATGAAAGAATTTAACTCACTTGGTGAGTTAAATTCTTTCATTTAAATTCTTCTACAATAGAACTGAGAAAATTAAACTACTTTAAAAAGTGAAACATATTAATCGGCAATAAGACTATTATTTCACAATAGGGAAAATATTTGAAACACTATTCCATATTGGCAAAACATGTAGTATTTTCACAGAGTATGTAGGGGAAATGGGTCTAATCTACTCCCATGAATGTACTATCATATAATGAGAGTAGCTCAGAAAGAGCACGCCATTTCAAAATTTTTAACTGCTTTTTCTCATCTTGTTCAAAATAGTTCAAAAAAATAGGGGCGCATTGTAATTCGGTCGCATGTTGCAATATCGTAAACTACAACAAGTCTGTTTTAGTCTTTTCTTTTATACTATTTCTATATATAAATTCTAAAATACATTCCTTGTATTATAAAAGGTCAACACAATCCAAATATAAACACTTATAGTACGTATAATCAAAACTTATTGGACTCAGGTGTGTCATATTGTATATCATTTTTTAAAAAATAACAATATGAAAAAATTTTATTTTTGTAATTCTTTGAAGACTTTCTGTTTTTAAGACATCCAAAAAAAAAATTTTTTTTTTCCAATTTAAATCTTTAAGTTTGTATCTTTCAAGTAGAAAAAATTTTATTTAATTTAATTAAAAATTTCGTAGAAAATTTTATGACAAGCAAAACTATAAAAAAAAAATATTTTTTATTTTCTTTAAAAATTTTCTTTTCTCCCCCATTCTCCTTGTAGGATCGATCCACAAAGTTTTTTTTTCTTTTGTTGACACTTTTGTGGATTTTTCAGTACAGTAGTGTATTTTGTATAAGGTATTCCCTATATCACTATAGTTCTTGTAAATTTTTTTCATTTTTAAAATTTTGTAAATTTTTATTTCTTTTTTTTATTTTTCTTAAATTTTTTTTAGTAATTTAAAATAATTAAATAAATAAATAATTCGTTATCTAAACTTATCAGTACAAAAGTTTTGGTTTTTTTTTCTTAAATTTTAATTTTTCAACATAACTGTCTCCAATTTAAGTATATACATATATAATATTATGAAATTTTAAAACCCTTAATATTTTTTATTATTTTCATTTATACATATATATATATTAAATAATTAATTATTAAAAAATTACCTATATAGTAATGTAGAATTTAAATACCTAAATATTTTTCTTAACATTATTTAATATTTATATTTATACACACACACATATTATACATATATATATAATTAACGAATTTATTAATAAATTATTAACAAAAACATTAAAATAAATAAAATACACGCATATTTACATTTAAAAATATTTACAAATATATATATATATATATACTATATGTAAATGTCTTATTATTTATTAATTAAATTAATTATGTAAATTACAAAAAAACACCCAAAACCTTCTTAAAACGTAGAACATTTAAATTCTAATATAAAAGAATAAATTTTACTTTAAAATTTAGAAAATTCAGTAAACTTAGGGAATGTAATCGGTGGGATTGTATGTGATTAGTGATGACATCATCATTTAAACCTACATAATATGTATATGACGCCAAAGGAAGTTTTTTAGTCTGTTGAAAACTTTTCTGTATTCCTACGAAAGAACAAAACCCATTTTTTTAAATGAATATTTTATAATTTTTTGATATTAATAATAATATTAAAATATTTAAAAGTTTGAGGTCAATATTAAAGGTCAAATAAAAAATTTTGTTTTTGTCCCGAAATCATACGACTTATTTCGGTAGCAATACAATTTTGAAATAATTGTTAAAATTTTTTTCAAAAATTACAAAATGATATTGTTTTTTAAGAAATTTACGTTATTATAATTGCTACCCCTTTAATACAACCTTTAATTTAATATAATTTTAAAATTATCTAATTTGGGACACAAACTCTTAATATTTAATTTGAAATTTTACTGAATTGACCTTTTTCAACATTAACAATAAATATTAATCAAAGAGGAAAATGAACTCCAACTTTCAAAATACTTTACGATTCTCATCTATTGAGAATATTTGCCACCAGAGTTGCTGTTAATAACAAATGTGTACACAAGCCTTAATGTCAATATATAAATATAAACATGCTAAACCAAAATGTTATATACAATGCTAATTCAAATTTCAAATATTGTTGCTTTTAAATGATTTTCTTTAAAAAAAAATTTCATTAATAGCCCGGCTCATAAAATTTTAAAGTTACTATTGAAAATTTTCAATTGCTAATTCAAAATTCTTATTAATTGATAATAGTTTTAAAGTTAAGAAGAAATTTCGAAAATATTAAATAATAATAATTTCATTTTACTTAAAGACTGCGTAATATTAAAGTTATTAAAAATTAATAATAACTTTAATATTATAACATTATTGAAATTTTAAGTGTCATAAAACGATTAACTATATTAACAATAATAACACTTTTATTATTATTAAGAAAAACTTGAAAATTTATTAATTTCCCGACATAAGTATAATGTTCTATACTATTATAATATTCACAAAATATATGTATGTATGTATATAAGATATTTTCATGTTTATAGTATAGATTTTATGATAAGACGGCATAAATGTCAATCCAATAATGTACAAAAAAAAAAATGTAATTTAAGAAACTGTAAAGTCAAGTAATAAAATAATCTTAAAAATTTTTTATATTATTACTTATACATACATAGCTATTTATGCCTTATAACTATTGCAGCTTAAATAAAGCAATTTAATAGAAAAATATTAAATATAATATTAAAATTACATTCAATAATTTGTTACTGTAAAGATTCGAAATTTTATAACAAAATTTGGTTTTCATCTCAATATAAATAATGAACACATAAAGTGTTTTCACTTTTCCCATTTAAATGAGGTCCAACATTTTTCATTTGCAACTTACATGTTATTGTTCAGGAATTTCAATATTTCACTACTTAGAATTCACTGCTAGAGCTTGTATTAATACAATTTATAATACGTACATAATCTAATTCAAAATTTGCTACATAATGTTAATGAATCAGAAAATTGAAAAAACTTTCCACTACTTTTATTTTAAAGTTTAATTTAAATTTTTGAAATTTTAATCAAAACTATTAAAATTATCCTAAAATTTTATTTGTAAAATAAAATAAAATTTTAAATTATTAAATCTTTCACTATTATTGACAAAAACTTGTCCTTATAATTACATTTTGAATTAAATCAAGCTAAGATTCTCATGAGGTAATAAATTTTGTTATTCACACCATTCTTGAGTCTTAAAAATTCAAATTACATGAATAGCTTGGTTTGAGGTTTAAATAAAATTTGTACTCTTGGTTTATTATTATTTAGTTTTAATATATTTCACTAAAAAATTTTAGCTTTAGAATCATTAAATAGGATGTGCTATAAAATTTATGAACTTCTATGTAGTACACATTTTCATATAGAAAAAAATTTCGAACCTTACAGTAACAAATTACATAACAATTATTGTAAATTTCCATGCAAAAATATTAAAAAAAATTGAATTTCAAGTAGAACGTAAATCTTACTATCTTTTAATATTAAGCAATAAAATAGAGAAGATTACCTCTCATATTATTATCTATTATATTATGTAATACATAAGATAGTAAGATATTGCAAAAAAATAGGTATGCTGTTGCCTCACATAATAATTACATACATAATTTTTTCCCTTTTCATTCAAAAATGGTTTCTGTACGCCTTTTAACTTTATTCCCTAGAATAAGTCAAAATTATATGTACATATATTAAAAATATCCTTTCTGTGTATAACATTAATAAAATATGCTTTAAAAAAGAACACTACAAAATTCCCAACAAAATTATTTATTTTATAGTCTGATTTATAAGCAGCCCGCGATTCGCTTATTTAATGTTCAGATTTTTTTTCTTTACTTTACATGCTGTGCAATAAGAAAAAAGCATAATAGAAGAAAAATAACCATTTTCGCTTAAAATGTATAAATAGCAAACAAGCGCTCAGTAAATATTCATAAATCCTTTCATTTAATATTAATTATTTGAATATTAAAATAAAAGAACACAAGTTCAAAGAAGTATGCAAAAAAATAAATTAGAGTAATGGCCAAGCTTATGACAAAATTGACATTTTATTTGTTTTTGGAATTTTAAATTCAAAAAATTTGTAATAAAGCAAAACCAAATGTTCTACGGTATTTGGAAGCATAATTATTTTTTTTTGTTTAATTTTCATTTTAATTATTTATTTAAGTAAAACTTAATTAGATATTCAATTTAAAAAAAAAAAGTAAACAAAATAATAGCTAGATTTTTTTTTAATTTCATGAATAGTTTATTTTTTTTTTAATAAATATAAATTTCATATGCCATTTTGTAGTTACAAAATAAAATATTAAATAAATAAATAAAAAAAAATAAATTAAAATAATTTTATTCTTATTATGTTCTTTTTGCTTATTTTAAAAATTAAATAAGAAAAAAAAATTAAATTTCTATTTATATAAAATAAAAAATTTAAAAAAAAATCGATTTAATTTTTTTAGCAACTGAACCAACGGCTGTGATAGTATCTGATTCGAAAACAAATTTAAAAGAAACAACTTTAACAACAACGGCTGCTACAACACCAGCTACAACAATAACCACAACGCCACATGCAGCAACTGTTACGACAGGCAATCATTTAGATGTACCACAACAAAGTAATCCTAATCTTTTAAGTCCAGATGTATTAAATCAAAGACGAGGTTAGTTTTATATTTTATAAATTTTAAATTGTATTGGAATTGTAGTTGGACTGAAATTATAAAATTGACAGTTCTATTGTAATATTAATATTATTTGTTTCTATTACTGCCCTGCCTTGGTTTGTATAAGGCCACCGCATAGAGAGAGCAACTATCATTTTCCTTTTATGGTTTTTATAAAAATGTATAGTGTTTATATGAAGAAAATAAAAATTATCACTATCCTTTTATATTTTAAGTCATTTGAAACTAAAAATACCTGAAAAGATTTTTAAAAAGAGGAAGGTTTTCATTCAAAATTTTAAAAAAAATATGTTTCCTAAAAATTATAGAAAATGAAGCGGCACAGACCTTCCTCATTGCCATTTACGAAAAAAAAAATCAAAATAAATTTTCAATTTGAAAAATTTTCATCAGTAATTCTCAATCGGGCTTACGGCACCCCCGGGGATGCGAGAAGATAATTTAAGGGGTACGAGAAACGTTTGTAAGTTTTCAGTAAAAACTAACGTCAACCAAATAAAAATCGCATTTAATATTTTTTCTCATTATTATTATTCTTAATAACAATAACTCTAAATTCAATTGATTTGAGTAAAATGATGGCAATCATATACTACAGGCTCACTAGTTTGTCACATTATTAAATGTAGTTAATATGAAAAGCAATATGAGAATATTAATTAATAATTAACTATAATACGTACGCCTGCCATATCAAAAATATTTAAATACCAGAATTAATACTACAAGTCTTATAGAAAAAAATTTTGAAATATTCTAACTATGCAAAAATTCTAGCATATTGGTAATATTGTGAAAAAAGAGAATTAATTTGTAAAGTCAAACAATTTATAGGCTTTTCTCTAAATAAAATTTTAAAAAGCATTAATTTTTTACCATATTGTACTATACTATTTATAAAATTGCATATACTCTAGGGGCAACATATTTATGTATTGTTAATATTTTAATTCTAAAATTATTTTAATTGCAGGAAGTCGAAGACCATCGATATTACCTGTACCAGACATGTTTACATCGTCTTCGTTTAGCATATCTGGTAATGAAGATGGTGAAGAAGGTGATGAAAGTGATGATGAATTAGATGATGATGTACCATGGCGGTCACCTTCTGAAAAAATTGCGTAAGTAAACTGAGTTAGATTATAGTAACAAATAATTTAATTTTTTTTTTTTTGAAATTTATTTACAAAAATAGAATTTTTGAAAAATATTTTTTTAATTTTACTTTTTATTGGTCCTCTAACATATTATATTCTTATATAAAATAGTTTTGAATATTATTAAATTTTTATAAAAAATATTAAAAATAAAATTTTATTTAAAAATATTTCCACATTTTCATCTTAAATACTATATACTCGTAATTTACTTATAAGTAAATGTTTAATTTACAATAAAATGCACATAAATATTAATATTAATAATTGTAAGAATAATTGTATTGCAAAATTATGTGTCTTTGTATGTGTTAATATAATTTTTTTAAAACATATAGAGTCCACTTTTCCCAAGAAAAATTAAAATGTATCCTTATAGTAAAATATAGGTTTAATTCTGTGTATCCAAAATAATATTGTATGTTGCCGCAAATTTTTAAAATTTATTTTGATTACAAATTTAGTTCTGTGAATGCGAAATCCAATATAAGATCGCTAAACCTAATTAGAAATCATCGTTTTATAAATTAGAAATTTGTTATCAGAAAAAAGCACAGACGGTTTTAATAAGAATGAGAACTTTATAAGAAATATTTGTACGGAGTATGGTAGAACGAAATGTGTTCTTTATAATGTTTAGCAACAAATCAGTAAAAGCTTGAATTTTCTAATTCTATAAGCAAATGCATCAAAACTTTTATAAATAAAATAAGTTATCTAAACTCCGGAATTTCTTTGAAAATGGTCGTATTTTAATTAATGTAAAATTGCAAATCTAGTAGAGTTTTCATCAACGTTTTCACCAACGTTTCAATGAAAGGAACAAAAAAATTATATCAAAAATTAAAATGTCATAGAACTTTCAATATCTGAAGCAAAGGGTTTTAAAATAATTTAATTTTAAATAACATAGAATCAACTAGCTATACAACTTATTCAATTTCGAACAATAACAACTTTTAAATCAAAAAAAATTGTTTTATATTTAAAAAAACTTTTCTGGACTTAAAAAATATTATATAAAAAATTTCATATTTTCTTGCCTTAAAAACATAAATTTCTAGTAAAAAAACGAAGAATTTTTTTGTCTGGATGCCTTTCTTTTAACTTTTCTGAAATCCATTAACACATTGTAAATCTCCTGTGGGCACAAATCAAAAAGAGAAAGTAAAACTCAATCAAAATGCTGGCTTGTATATTAGCAAATTTCCCTTGAAAAGATGGAAAAAATATTGCTTTTAAAACAAATCTACAACATTATTAAATTACTTTCATTCTTAACCAAATATTTCAAAGATTGTATACATTTAGGATGGGCAAAAACACACGTTAAGTAAAGTAATTAAGACGGTTAAGTAAAGGATTTAGAATAAATAATTCTACATACTTTATGATAGTATAGTATTTTTTTTGCCATCTAGAGAATAAAAGCCACTCAAAATTCAAATTTTACGAATTTCGTTAGGCGATAACTAGAAAAAGAGTAGAGGTGGAAACAAATTTTGTTCTATGAAAATAAATTATAAATTAGCAAATAAAAGTTGCTTAAAATTTCTTACTTTCACAAATTACAGTTTATTTTGACATTCATGACATATTTAATGTTTAGCAATTCTGTATTACGGGAGAAGAGGTTGGCTGAAAATTTACAAAATGTTTGTAATTTCTACAGAATTAATAATCAAAACATGGCAATTTTGGGAATTTGACGGACTAACATTTAGGTGAGAGATATAGGAAAAACTTGAGATAGGGAAAAAATTTCCTTCTACATAAATAAGTTTCTCTATTAAAGATCTATTTGTATACAAAATTTTAGTTTTCTTTCTTAAAGTGAGTTGAAGCTGTTTATAAAAATTCCCATAGAAAGACGGACAAACGTGCAGATTAAAAGTATTGAGCACTTTTTTTTTCAATTTCATTCTGGTAAAATGCTAAAAACGTTACAATATCGTATAAGTAAATTCGTTCTTTTTTTCTTCAAAGAATTTCCAAAAATCTTTGTTTAAAACTTCATATTTTGATGCCTTTGAATTTTTTGAAAAGAAGAAAAAATTCTAGACAAAACTGACGTAACATTCATATTATAAATTAAAATTATTTTGCCTTTTTAAATGTCATGCACCTTTATCAATATGTTTTCTATATTAACTGACGTGATATACATCCGATTTTCATAGTACGTGATTAATTTTTAAAAACTTAAAATTTTCAATTACATACATTTCTAAATTTATTTTCCAAATTTTAATTAAAAATTCTTTACAACTAATTGAAAAATATTCCATTATTAGTTAATTTTTATAATAATTAATTATTTTCCAAGAAAATATTAAAATATGCTCCAATTTTATTAATATAAAAAACATTCGTACAAAAATTAAATGTTAAATTGAATTAAATTCAAATTGTTAAAATATTCAAGCCAATTTCTAGCCAATAGGCAAAATTATTCTTAAAATAAACTGTTGTAGTAAAACAAGGAGATTTCCTCTATATATTCACATTTGAATGTAAATGAACCCAATTTGTTAATAGTATTCCAAGAATTTCATTTAATTCCTAAATATTATTAATATTTCAAATAAATAATTTTAAAGATCAAATATTAATTTTGATTATATACGAGTACTTTCGAAATTGAGAAACATTATTAAGTCATTTAGAATAATAGCTTCAATTTTTAACAAAATACTCTAATATTGTATACTAGAAAATCAATTCATACATAAATCTTCTATATGAATTTCGATCATATCTCCAATCCATAACATTTTTTTTTCCTGTTTTTACATTATTTGATTTCTTTAGAAGAATAAAAGTAATTTTTCTTAATACCAATGTTCAAATTTATTTTATAAAAGAAATTTTTTCAAACAAGTAATTTTTGTTCGATGACCCCAAAAACTGAATTATCTTTGGAATTCTTTATGATATTTTGAACATAAAGAAACTAAAATTACTATATTGTCATCAAAATAGAAATTATTTCACATCATTTGTTAATAAAACTTTTTTTGTACAAAATATAACATCAAACTTGCTGCCATGATAACATCTGTATGTAGAATAATACTGGTATACAATAATTTTTTAAATAAAATTTAAGGAGCTTTACTCGAACATATGTTATAAAGAAAAGAAGAAAGAATAAATGTTGCCCGAAAGTTTCTTAAATTCTCGAATCTTTAATTTGTTCTATTTCTTTGTTGTGATATCATTATTGGTTTGGAAAAAGTATGCATTGAAGAGCATTATGAAAAGACACTTATAACAGCCATGAAAATGTTAAATAAAAAAAAACATATTTTACAGGATAATAAAAAAAAATATGAGATATATGCATTCATAAATAAAAAGATGTATTTAAAAATCAAATAAATTTCAATCAAGCCAAAGGTTTGTGAATAATCACGGTTCCTTAATAAAATTAAAAAAAAAATTTTTTAATACGCCATAAAATATCTTGTTTCTCATAAATATTGCATATTTTTAGGCAGTAAGCAGAACAGTATAAATGTTTGAACAAAATGCTCGAACTTGAGAAATAATTAGAAAAAAGGTGAAAAATTAGATTTTTTGACAAAAAAATTTTACTGTTATATTTACGGGTTTAAAGAAATTTAGAATGTAACAGTTTCGGAAACATATAAATTGTGAGGAATTTAAATTATGCTTACTAGGATGGCTTAGATAAGCAAGAAAACAGAAAAAAATTTTATTCCAGAAAAATAAACCACTTATTAATGTTTACAAACTATTACAAAATTCAGACCATATTTCGGAATTTAAAAAATCCAGAATTAATAGTTTATGTTAAGCTTTCGATAACTTTTAATAGAGTCGACCCTATCAGTAGTTACAACTTTATTTTATGGAAACAGATTCCTTACCAAGATTCACTTTTATTCAAACTTTCATATCTAGAGTGAAAAGTTTTTTTAAACAGAGGAACGGAGGAGCAAAATAAAGCTAATAAGAATATTTCTTTTCTAATTTTGTTTAAAATTGGCTAACACAGAAATAAGTAAACGATATTATATTCTCCGTTTTTTTTGCTGTTTATAAGATATTTCCTATATTTTTTTATTACCCAAAAAACAGCCTATATACTGTACAATATTTATAAATATTGTTGTAAAAATAAGGATTTATTACATTTCCTATATATCGTCCTTAAAAACTTATCGTAATTCATATTTAAATTTTAAGTATAACTTTATTAGCTGGAAGGAAATAAAAAAAAATGGTTGAAATCAAAGATCTTATATCATTGGAAAATATCATCGGAAATGTAGAGTATCATTGTATTTTAAAGGCAAATACCATTTTACATACTTTCACAAATAAACACATTAATAGTATTGCCAATAAAATAAAATTTTACCCAAATTTTAATTAAAACTCTAAGTAAATGAATAAAAAATCGTCAGAGATAAAAGTCAAAAATCGAAAGGTAAATGCCACGCTATTGGAAAATATAATTATTTTGTCTTATAACTCACTGACTTAACTATCGAAATCGACCATTATGCTTCATTAAAGTTGCTCATCCGAAATGTATGCAATAAAATGATATGAAATTAATTTTAATAATATAGTAGATTATTTTAAAAAGCAATATTTCAAATTGTGTTCAAGGGAAAACTGCTACATTACAAACCATCCAAATTTATTATATTTCTAGAAATTTATCAAAAATCACATATAGAGACATAAAACACAGTTTCCAACCCCAAGTATTTAGATAATAGTATTTTATTTTTGTATTATTAGAAAATTTTTAATATACAACTTTTTTCTATTCAATTTATAAATTTTTATGCGTTTGTAAAGTGTATTGGACTTAAAAGTATAAAGTAATAGAAAATTTGATTGATTTACACTATAAACCAATCAGACATTCGATAACTGCGTATACTTTCATTTATATAATAATAAATTATGTTTCTAATAGAATTATT